TAGTTGATAGCAGTTTGATATAATTTATTTTCTCAAAAAGCTAACTGAAAAAGTTCCATTGAGCGACTTTTTGAATTTTAGCATTTTTAAGTTACAAAAAGCTAATTAACGAAACACTTATATTGATTTTTTAATCAAATCAAATAACTAATGATGGTTAAGGAAGTTAAAATTGACAAATAAACTAACTATTTTACCAAACAGAATTATAGTACTCTGTATCTTATTTTATTAGATATAACAATCAAATTGATTAGACGCAACTCTAAAAAGACAAGACTTGCTTCCATGAAACACGGTATAATTTTTCATAACGTTTTTCTTAATTAAAAAGACATATTGATCAATCTAACCACTTTTTTTTTTTTTTTTTCTTGTTATCCTAATTTATATGTTTTAATCTGAATTTGAATCTCGTTATTCCATTGGACTGAATCTTACACGAAATATACTCCGGTCCATAGTTGAATGCATGCATACATATTCTCTGGTCTTCTCTTTTTTCCAAGAAAAGAGAAGAATGATAGATGGTAGGTTTGGATTATTTTGTAATGTATATTTAATAATCAATAAGTTTAAACTTTTACTAATTAACAAGACACGTTAAACATACCTACTTCTACCTAGTTAATGAAACTTGTCAATATTAAATTAATGATATGGTTGCTTGGATTAGTACATAGGGAGAAAATTAGCAAAAATACAAACATATACGTACATTGTAGACAAGTAGACAACAAATGGTTAGGTATGTATCTACCAATTACATACGCAATTATTTGAAAAAAAAAATGGTTTAGTAGGCAGTATTTGGGGTAAGAGACCAAGGTTCAAACCTCGACGGCAGCAGTGTGGGAATTATGTCCAAAGTGGGCAGATTCCTCGTGCGCATCGGCATTTGGCCCTGCTTACTAACCCATTGAGTCACCGTGATTTACATCCTCCCACATGCTCTGTCGGGTTGGAGATTCAGCCTTTTTGGAGTAATTATGTGAAAAAATTATACTAGAGTCGGGTTTATTCAATGCATTTATATGCTCGAATAGTAGTTGTGAGTTTTTTCTCATTCAAAAAAATTATGTGAAAATATTATAGTTTGAAAAAATACTGAATGAATTAGAATAACCACAATAATATCTTACATAGAAAAACCAACGACCTTTATAAAGAAAGACCAACATATAAACTCTACTAAAATTATTTTCAGCGATGTTTTAACGCATGGGTAATGGTTTTTATTATAAAAAAAATTGACACCTAAGAATCAATTAACATTAAGTACAAATCTGAAATATGTAACATGTTAGTTTGTTAAAAGTTTATTGAAATCTTCCATCCTATATGAACATGTTTCTTGCATGCCCGGAGTTCAATATAGTACTGTCTCAACATAGATTATCTTGTATTTATGGAATTCTCAAACATTAAAACCTAGCTATCTAGGTCATTACAATATCTAGGATTATTAATAATTAATTAATTATGGAGAGTGGTCCAACTCCATCACGTACCGGCCACTAAAAACCAAAGATATTCACTGCAACTTTTCCTGTGTGTTTATTGATTCTATTAATTAATTCTATTTTGTTTCGTATTAGTGAACATTCTGCAACACTTAATGGCAGGCAAACATCCTCAGCTCCCATGTTCTTACTTTCAAATTCCAATATTTGATTGTATGTATTTTGTAAGACAATGGTGATTTTTTTTTCTTTCTTTTCTTTTAAATCAATTAATAAAAGGTACGTAATGCCAAACACCTTGTGCTCAGATGACATGTAATGACCTCTTCCATGTGGAAGGTCATGAGATCGAGTCTCAATGGAGGTGTTTACTGCTGAAAATTATGGGATTTCCGGCAAAAATACAGATACTACAATGTAATAGAGTCAATTGCATTCAGAAAAAAATAAAAATAAAAGGCATGTAATTGACATATATGATCTTGAATGTATTGGTCATATTTTCCTTTAATTAATCCGTAGCCATTCTTTATACAGGAAGATTCTTCCGAGCTTCCGAGACCGTAACGTTGACCAAACGAATGATGCGAAACACATAAAGGTCGTAACGGGGTTGTGCTATTTGACGGTTGACCCGGCCCGCCTTAATTTATGGCTGAGCATGCTCGCAAGGCAACTATAAAACCTGCATTAAATAATAATAATAATTATTTAATGTATAAATAAATAAAGTCTCTGTCACTTTTCAAATGACCCTCATTTCTTTAATCTTTAATATAACCACCAAACTAATTTATTCTTTGGCGTCAATTATGGTTCTAATTGTTTTATTAATTGTCGAATAATTGTAAAATTAGAATAGTAAATAAAATCATATCTTAAAATTAGATTCTTTAATTATAATAATTTGTATATGAATAAAATATTTCTTTGATTGACTAATCTATTAAGGTGTACTATACTTTTTTCAATGTATATAACATATTAATGTCATTTTTGTTGGATCCTCAAACGGTTTTTTTTTTACCTAACAAGTAGGGACGGAGCCAAAGGGGGACAGGGGGCATGTCCCATGCCCCCCTCACCCCACCCCCACCTTATATATAGTCTTTGTATGTATATATGTATATATAGTACAAGTTTTAGTATTAGTATAAAAAAAAACTATAAAATGTTAACAAGAGTGCGTTTGGCAATAGTGAGATTAATGGTTCAAATCTTAGCATCAACCTAGTTTTACAATTCATTAATTATATTTCATATTTTGTTATGAATATTTTTATAAAGTTTCGATGTGTTATTTTTCGTCCATATCCAACAATATTTACAACTATATTTCTTAAGTCATTTATTTATTTATTTTTAAATTATCTCTCTCTCTTTTTTTTTTTTTTTTAATGTTTCGTCATTACTGAAAGTTTTTTCTAAATCCGTCTGTACTATTTCGCCCCCCCCCCCCTCCCCCTCAACCAAATTTCTGGCTCCGTCCCTGCTAACAAGTTAGGATAACTAGTAAATAAATTATTACTACAAGTATAAAGTTCAAAATTCGACTCTTGCATGTTAAACAACTTTACATTAGGTCTTTTTTTTTTTTTTTAGTAAGAATTAAACATTGTTGGTGTAATTTAGTATTACCGTATTCTAGTATTGTATGTGTGTGCGTTTCGAGTGATAAGCAAACTCACAACTACATTACCCAAGAATATGCACCGAGTAAACTCCACTCATATATAATAGTCGACAAATCACATAGGAGTGAATGAGAGATAACCTATGCAAAAAAAATTATGTGCGACAAGTTGAGTCTGATCGTGTGCAATATGAGAAACACCTTGTGTAGGGATGAAAATGGGTTGGGAGTGGCATGGAACTGAAACCTTAGTTCTACATCCGATTTCGGTCCGGACCTTTTAGTTTTTTATTTTTTAATTTTATTTTGTACTTTTAAAATTGTCCAAATTCAACAATTAATTATTATTATTATTTTTTTTTTGGAAATTTTCCATTATAAAATGTTTTTAAAATGGTTATAAGATATATTTAAATTTGAAAGTTACACTATTAAAAAAAATTGTTATAGTTATAAACTTTAAAATGTTATTTAAAATTTAAACTTCAATCAAATTATAGTTAAACTTTAATCTAATAATAAAAAAATAATTAAAATTTATTTATTTATTTTTTTAAATTTTTTTAGTTTGAAACCGAAACTTTATATTTTTCCGTTCTTAACTGGAACCGAAATTGTAAATACGGTTATGGTTCCAATAGTGCACAATTCGTCTTGAATCGTGGTCATTCCTTGACCCACCCAAACCGTCCCACATCGGGTGGACTTTTATAAAATCTACACATGCCCTTACTTATTGCGGGTATTCGTTATGGGTACTCATAACTTATTATCTTATTAAAAATTTCTTAAATAATATTTAAATTACTCACCTATAATAAAATTCACTAATATATTAAAGCATAATATAATAGAAATATTCAAATATAATAACTAAATTGTTACGAATTTTTAAAAAATAAATAATCTTATTAGTTTAGGACTAAAAATAGTAAAAAACAACAAAATTTATATAAATTTTTAAAATTAACTACATATTAATACTTATTAATATATATATATATATATATATATATATATATATATATACATACTACATATGATCGGTCAAATATGTATATGTAGGACGGATTAAAATTTTCATTTTTAACATTGTGTGACAAGTGTAATCAATAATATGTTGATATGAATTAAATTACAAGTGTAATCAATAATATATTGATAAGGATTAAATTAGTGATTTTTATGAGTCTTGGGGTGAATTAATAGCATTTATTTCGTCTAAGATACAATCGGAAAAACCGGAAAACCTAAGTTATAGAAAAACAAAAGATATAAAGAGATTATTTTCGTACATAAATTTTAGTATTGACGCAATAAATAGTGTAAAACATGAAGCATGGGACATCGTACGTGAGTAGTTGCAGGCGTCCCAGTAGTAGTTAATAAGAGTTTACCGGTCTGAACACCTCAACACACCAACACAAATTGAAATTGAACATTACAGCTTACCAGTTTGACTGTGTGGAATTTTTATTCACATTCCAACGTTAAAAATTGTGGTTTTCTCCGATTACATCTTACGTTTGAATTGAATTTCTCTGTTCCATTCAAACTGATCATTTTTTTTTCTCAATAAAAATGTTGGTTTATCTTTGGCAGGGCAGTAAAGGCCATGTTTAGTATCTGGTGACTGGGGATAATTAGATGGAAGTCGGTAAAGTCCTTAAGAGTTAAGTCCAGCACACAGCGAAACGGTTTATAAATAAAGAAATAAGTTGCGTCTTTGTTATCAGCTATAGCTTTTGACCTGAGTGATAAGGGCTTTTTATCCTAACAGTTTCCTTTCTATTTTTGTTTTGATTATTTCTGATTATTATTTACTGCTAATTTCTAAAATTATGATGAATAGAAAGCGCGTAACCTGGGAGAAGGTTCAAAGTCATTGTTCAAACGCTTAAAATTCCAACCTCGACCCCAAAAACCTCAGTCTTCAAATCCTCTCTCTCTCTCTAAGCTTTCTTTACTTAATGTCTCTCCACGTTTTTGGTTCTCACAATTCCTGAAAATCCCATTTCTGCAAGTTTCTGGGTTCTGGTTGAGTTCTCCGTTCTGGGTTGTTTTCAGTTTCTGATTCAGAAAAAAAGAAAAAAAAAACTGAGTTTTTTTTGGGTTTAATCATGGTGACTAGGTGGATTATTTGGTTTATGGGTTGTCTGTTCTTGTGTTGTTCTGGGTTTGTGGTGTCGGGTGGGATTCACAATCTCATGAATGCCACTTCTTCCGGGATTGAACTGCCGGAACATCCCAGTTTCAACGCCGTTTCTTCGTCGTCAAGCTCTGGCTGCAGCTTTGGGGCGGCGAAAAAGTCAACCGCTACTGTTTCTCTGGTATCTCAGGAGGTTGATTCTAATGGCGATGGAGAAAGAGAGCCGGTGAAGTTTCATCTGAAGCACAGATCAGACGGGCGTGAGAAAATGGGGAAGAAAGACGCAGTCTTTGAGTCAACCACCAGGGATTTATCCAGGATTCAAACCTTGCATACCAGGATCACCCAGAAGAAGAATCAGAACACCATTTCCCGCCTCAAGAAAGACAAGAAATTTCCGGCGGTGGCGCCGCCGGCGCCACCGCCGGAAACTTCCATCTCCGGGCAGCTGATGGCGACGATTGGGTCAGGGGTGAGCCTGGGCTCAGGGGAGTATTTCATGGATGTCTTTGTGGGTACACCTCCTAAACACTACTCTCTGATTCTTGATACTGGTAGTGATCTTAACTGGATTCAATGTCTCCCTTGTTATGATTGCTTTGAACAAAATGGCCCCCATTATGACCCCAAAGATTCTAGTTCTTTCCGAAACATAACCTGCCATGATCCTAGGTGTAACCTCGTATCGTCCCCAGACCCCCCACAGCCCTGCAAGTCTGAATCCCAGACTTGCCCTTATTACTACTGGTATGGAGACAGCTCTAACACCACCGGCGATTTCGCCCTCGAAACCTTCACCGTTAACCTCACAACCCCTGCCGGGAAGCCGGAGTTTAGGCGGGTGGAGAATGTGATGTTTGGATGTGGGCATTGGAATAGAGGCCTATTCCATGGGGCTGCAGGGTTGTTAGGATTAGGGAGAGGCCCTCTTTCCTTTGCCTCTCAGCTTCAGTCTTTATATGGCCATTCATTCTCATACTGTTTGGTTGATAGGAATAGCAATTCCAGTGTTAGTAGTAAGCTGATCTTTGGTGAGGATAAGGCCCTCTTGACCCATCCCCAATTGAACTTCACTGGGCTAATTTCTGGGAAACAAAACCAGGTTGAAACATTCTATTATGTCCAGATCAAATCTATCCTGGTTGGGGGACAAGCCCTTAATATCCCCGAGGATACATGGAATTTGTCCCCGGAAGGGGCCGGGGGAACCATTGTTGATTCGGGAACCACTCTCAGTTACTTTGCAGATCCCGCTTACAAGATCATAAAACAAGCATTCGCCACTCAGGTGAAACGCTACCCGGTTGTCCAGGATTTCCCTATCCTCGACCCGTGTTACAACGTTTCCACCTCTCGAGGCGGGCTCGAGGAACTGGAATTGCCCTCATTCGGGATCCTGTTTGGGGATGGTGCCGTCTGGAACTTCCCCATCGAGAACTACTTCATCGAGATCGAACCTAAAGAGCTCGTTTGCTTGGCGATCCTCGGGACTCCTCGCTCCGCCCTCTCCATAATTGGCAACTATCAGCAGCAGAACTTCCATATCTTATATGACACCAAACAGTCCAGACTGGGGTTTGCACCAACCAAATGTGCTGATGCCTAATATTTTTGCATAATACATACATACATACATATATATATTTTTTGACAGAAGAAGGTGGTGGTAAAAATTAAGCTGTAAAAATTGGATGTGGGCACACCTGGATAGCTTTCATTCTTTAATTTCCCAGAAATCTATAACTGCTGTAGATACAAAATACTCTCAGAATCTTCATTTGTTCTTCCCTTTTTGTTTGTAGTTTCTCATCATCATTATACATTGTTTAACATCCTATGTACAAGGTTGACTGCAGTTTGCAGAAGATCAGAACAGATGCTTTTTTGTTTTTGTTTCAGAACTGCAAATCTTGTTGTTTCTTCTGTAAAGGATATCAAATCTCCAATAAAAGTACTCATTTTTCTATTTACAGTCAGCTTGTAGGCTTGTAGCCCAGAAATATATGAACTTCACAGTTATCATTCAATCATCTGTATATCTGCAGGGAATTCACAATCTTAGACAGATTTTGCAGGTGATTATTGGTATAACCTTTTTTTTTTTTTGGAAAAAATTATTGGTATAACCTAGTCAACAATTAGGTTGTTGCATTTACTCCCAACAACCTTGAAAGATGTTTCTCAAGATCTTCTCGGGCCCGAAAACTGCTTCCTATGTCAAATTGAAGGACATGCTTTATTTTAACTAAAAAGTTTAAAGTTGATAGTGAGACTATTGTATGTCTATTAGTTATACGGAGTATATATTATACTCAATTGCGAGTGGCTCCCGAATAGGTCGATCGACTAGGTGCATCGGAATTTTTCTACCTGTCACAAATTTAATTCTTATAAAATTTATGTGTACGTACAAATTATCGAATAGTGGTACAAATTATCGAATAGTGGTTTTGGGTTCTATCCTCACTCCAAAAGAAAAAAAAAAAAAAAAAAAAGGATGGGTAGAAGTTGCAAGTTGGCAGTGATGACTTGGCCAGCTCGCCGTGTACTTGGGTTGATGATCTCAGCGTTGGACATGTTTTAACCGGTCAACTTTTGAACAACACTTTAATTCAAAGTCCTTTTTTTTTTTTTTTTTTTTTTTTTTGAAAGAATTCAAGTCCAACAAATTGAGGAAATTCCCTTCTTTTATGTCAAATGTGTGAACAAAATTTGGACAAGAATACAAGTCAAATCCTCGTTTAAATTATGAACAAAATATGCGACTGCTTAGCTATCTTATTTTTAGAGGTGTCTATAATTTAGTGAGAAGATTAGTGAATATAATTTTTTTTAAAAAATAAAATAATATCATCATATCTACTATTGGGCATATATTTATTTACGTAATTTTTTAATTATTCTTCGTGTGTAATTTTGTTGATTAACATACATGTTAATGGTGGTCATAGTATCGATTCAATCCCAAACTACCTTAAGTTAACATATAATTGACTTTGACCTAGGAATTAATCGTCAAACAGTCAAATTAGATCCTTCTTTAAGAGAGATTCGTCTTAAATTGACTCGAAACCAACCGTTACCTTGAAACTAATGGTTTAAAGTATATCCTTCCTTTATTGCTCTTATTTAGTGTTTATTCACTTCTTTCCTTTTAATTTACAATCATCTATTATTGTCTACCAAATAATGTAATTTGAATTTTCACTTTATTCTTTTTCTACGGAATTACAATTTCTTTCTCTTTTAATTATCTCTTTCTAACCAAACGCCCTGTAATGGTTTGAACTAGACCCTCCGTACAGAAGTCTTGGCTTAAATTGATTCAAAATCGACCATGAACTTGAAACTACTAGTTCAAACTAAATCTGTCACACATGGTCTTCTTAGTGTGATTTTACTTTTCTTTTGTGATTTGTGAACTTTGATCCATGAATAAGATTTATTCAATATACACTTTGATAGTAATTACGAATTTTCTTGTTAAAAATAAAAATAAAAATGAAGCAAGCTAGCATCGAGATTGACCTCAATTCCTCAAATACAAGTAAATACAAATTCCAATTGCCCAAAGAGGCAAAGACTCGGTTCAATTCATATATTGACTGAAATCTGCACCTTACAAATCTCAAACGCACAATCACAACGGTAAAACAATGTACTTTTAGTATATTAAAATGTACATTATATTCAGGGGATGTACACTATTTGTATATTGAGTATATATTATATTATACAATATATATTCAATACACAAATAAGGTACATTTAGCATATTAAAAATGTACTTTTTATATAGTCTACACAATAATTTGCCTCAAACGTATAGTAGGGCCTAGCTCAATCGTTATGCCATGGAACCATGTTCATCATGGTCCCAACGGTAACGGTGCACCGCTTTTCTTTTAACCGCGCAATTTTTCTTCTTCATTTTCACATTTCGCGGTTTCACTTTCTCTTCGCGCAAGTTTCTTCAACATTCATAAATTATGGATTTGCAGACATGGATTTATGAATGTGCAGTTATGAAATTATGAATTTTCTGTTATAAAATTATGAATTTACAGAAAATTCATAATTACATAACTGTAAATTCATAATCTCATAACAGAAAATTCATAATTTAATAAATATTTTTCTTTTATGCGATTATGAATTTTCTGTTATGAGATTATGAATTTACAGTACATGCATAATCTCATAACAGAAAATTCATAATCTGAACAAACATGCGCCGTTAACAGCACATTAACTAAAAAAAAATTTCCCGTCAAAACAACACCATTTCGACCCGTGTTCACCATGTTTCCGGGACATAATTTGCGGGCCTAGCTGACGTGGGCATATAACATTATTTGGGCTGGTAAACTATGGCCTAATATCTGACTCACGGCCCAATAATGAAAAGAACAATGGTTAATTGGTTATACCCGACTCCTGGTCCATAATAAACATTGTAAGGTAAACAATTAATATATGTGTTATTTTTAATATATTGTAGGTTCATCATATTTAGTATATGTTTATTTGTAGTGTATTATCTAAAAAATAAAAATAAATCTATAGTAAACTAAAAATAACCTGTATGATTGATCTGTCTTGGACCATACTTTATGGTATAATTTGTCTGAAAGAAAATGCATGTTTTTGTAAGAGATTAAAGAAGAAGATGATGAAAAAGAATTTATTGTTTTTTTTAATACATTTTGCACATACATCGTAAAGCTCAAATCAAAGTGCATGCATAAATGCATGTTAATTTCAGTAGCTGTTCTGCCATAAGCCTTCTTCAAATCCCGTTTCTTCTACCAAAAATGCACCATTATTATTATTATAATTATAATAATAACAATAATTATTATTGTTATTATAATAGGAATAATAATCAAGGCCATACTCTCCCATATCAAGCATCCCACCACCCACCTCCACCGTGCACGGCGGCGCCGGAGACATCTCAGTCACGTCCAGCAGCCACTCCAGCTCATCTCCGACAACCTCCCCACCCTCCTTCTTCTGGCGGCTGCTATTACTCTCCTCTGTCCAACCGGCCGGCGGCTGAATTACGCATCCGCCGCCGCCCTCTTGCTCTTCACCGGCGGCCGGCTCTTCTTCCAGCAACTTCATAAGCGTATCCGCATCGAGCTCCGCCATATCCATGTCCTCGAATTCGACAGACGAAGAAGAAGCTTCTAAGCTCATGATAGAATCAGACGCCATTGGAACTGAAATTGTGTGTAGAGGCGGATAGAAAGAAAGAAAGAAATCAGAGCTTTAATTTAATTTGCAGGATATGAACATATACAAGATGCAGGGACCAATGGGCTTAAATAGGCAGCTTGCTGAACCTGTATTGAATAAAAACTTAATTACTACAAAAGAATTAGGGTGTGTTTGGTACACACTATGAATAGAAATCAAATTCATAGTTACTGTTTAGTTGACAATGACTTTTAAAAACACAACTATGGAGATTTAATTACCCTTTCAATTAAAAATCTCATTTCCTAATTAAAAATGGATATCATTCCATGTTATTGGCTGGTAATCTAATTTTTAAGTTTGAATTAATGTTTTTAAATTTCTGTTTTGATTTTTTTTTTTTTTGTTCATATTGATAGTTTGAATGTCATTATATTAAGATTAATTGCCTTAATTTTTTATTTTTGTATTTCTAAAAACTTTTATTCTCATCATAGGGTCATACATAACCAAATATCAATATTACCACATTCTTACCCTACTACAAAAAATGCAAAATACTTTTACCAAAACCCATTACCATTCGAATTTCAATTTCAATTCTCTTATGTGAACCAAACACACCCATAGTTCAATCAAATTATTTAACAAATCTAATTAACTTGCACCACATATATAATTAATGCCTTATTTAAAATATATTATACATAATATCTTTTTTTTTTTTTAAATATTTACGGGAAGGGTTGAGATGCAATAGAGGACTCCCAGGGAGTCATCCATCCTAATACTATTCTCGTCCAAATATGCTTAATTTTGGAGTTCTGATGAAATCCGGTGCATTAGTGTTGGTATACAGAAAATCTTACAAGGAAAGTTTATGTAATTATGCAATATACTGTCAGATTGAAAACGCCAAGAACCTATATTTTGCCGGAGAGAATTGAAAAGCACGAAAACGTATAGAAAGATTGGGAAGAAAGTGAAAACTTCTTCTTCGATCGGCTTCTTGTTCTACTTTTTGCATATAAAATTGATGACAAATTATATTTCTAGTCAGCAGAAATGCCTGTTTTTGCAAAAGTGGGATCTGCTTATCTGTTTGTAGATAGAATATGAAAGCGATGTGTTTGGTAAGGGCATTGGTTGCGTTTTTGGGCGGATTTTATGAGCTGCAAGTTGCAGTTTGTGGGGGTCCATCCATTTCCATTTCTTCATAATAAGTCACATATAATTGAAGTGCCAATCAACTACTATACTATGGTAAGTTTTATTTCCCAAGACTCCTACTTCGACGTTTTGTAAAAATTGTCAATTGATCTTCTTAATTTGAACCCGTTAACTATAGATAATTCTGGTTAATCACAAGGTTCCAAGTTCCACACTACATACTCATAAGAGTACGGTCTATTGACATTTTTAGTTTAAGCCGATTAATTATATATAATAAATACTTGGTTTAATTTACCTTATGGTGGTCCTTTACAAGGTAGGAGTACAAAACAGACTTCACCTATAGGGCATGTTCAGAAAGTAGCTACAAATTTTCTCGTAAATCAAACTATGAACAACTTGGATTGCTTTATCTTCTTCTGATTTTTATCCGATAAAGTCACAAAAGAAGTTTCACCTAATGAACAATTTTAAATAGCGAATACAAACTTCTCAGCTCAGTAAATCAAAAGTTTGATTAGTGTATGTTACTTCTGAACTAAGTTAGGTTGAAATTTTGGTGTTGGTATAACAGTACATCAGTGGTTATTAGGGA